GGAATCGAAGTGGAAGTCACAGGATCATCAAACAAAAAAGGAAAATTTAAATACATAGCTTTGAAAAAAAATTCTGTTTTTTTGGGGGGGTACCCCCTCGTGTATCTAATTACTTATCCTTGTACATAGAGAAGGGGCTGACAGGTTGCAAAGCAAACTACTGGTGATTGTAGCTTTGGGGGAGGGGAATCGAAGTGGAAGTCACAGGATCATCAAACATCCCATAGAGTTTTGAATTGATAAACTAATTAGCCCTTGGAACTGGAGCAGCAAGCAAGGGCATGAAAAATGGAAACCGCCTTCAACTTGTCACGGATTTTATTTTACTTGGATCCACAGTCGGTGCGCGTGGAAGCAGCCATCAAATCTGCTGCCCAAGACCTCTTTCAAGTGTCAAAGAGCCAAGGTGTCACTTTGAGCACTAAGGTGCACCTGGCCCAACCCATGCTATTTTCCATCTCCTCAAGCGCATGCGGAAGCTGAACAATGAACAAGTAAGACTGAAGCCGAGTGTATGCCTGTAAATTACCGCGTTGGTGAAGAACGAGGGGCGCACCATGGACCGCCAGAAGATCCAACCGGTTTATCTCAGAAGAAGTACAGCCAGAATGTTCCTTAGATGCAAGGATGGTGAGGCTTTCTGGACATGTGCTCAGAAGGGATCGGTCCTTAGGGAAGGACATCATGCTTGGTGAAGTAGAGGGTAAGGAAGACTGTCGACAAGATGGGTTGGCACAGTGACTGCAACAGTGGGCTCACACTGAGCCAGGCAGTGTGTCGTGCTGCTGCACCTCGGGTCACTGTGAGTTCAGGCAGGCTCAGCAGCAGCGAAGGACGACACCGCATTGCCACTTTACTACTTCTATAACTAAGTAAAAGAACGAGAGCGAAAAAAGGCTCCATGCTCTAGAGGTTCATTGACAGGTAAAGACAGAAAGAGCTTTGCCTTTAGAACATAGACTAATGCACATTGTAGCCCTTGTTTAGTGAGGTCAACTACACATACTCACTTTGTTATTATAGTTGTTGTGTTTAAAGTCATAGAAGCATACTGTTTGGAAAATCAGATAAAATGTCTAAGAAGCTATCCATGTTCATGACTGTCACATTTCACAACCACTGTTATCTTAAAAGTAGCTCGAATAAGATACTACACACAGACTACCTAGAAGAGTGTTTGGCACAGAGTGGAAGCTCACTAAACCATGCATTATCATCATGGAAATTATACGTAAGATGATGAAAATGGTCATATTCATAAGTCAAATGAAAAATAGGGTTCACAGTTGTTGTTTTTAATTAAGAATGACCCCAGCTAGCAGTTCAAACATAGAGAAAGAGGGAGCTCTTAAGTCAACCCACCGAAAGAGCCTAGGAGCAGACATCCGGTAGCAGCAAGCACCGCTAGCATGCAGATCTTGGTTTCTAACCACCATCCTTCACCAAAAGGAACCAAGGCTCCCTAGAAAAGTGACCGGAGAAACGAAAGTACAAGATGAACCTGGGCACCTTGTTTTGCTTGAAAGGAAGGAGGAACTCGAAGAATGGTGGAGGCATGTCAGAAAGGCCCAGGGATGGACTGGAAGCGGCTCCCCTCAGGCCAGATCTGGTTGGTACAGTCAAAGCACCAAATGAATACGGGTTGATGGCTCACAGCTTACTGAACGGAATCGAAATCTACAAGCTCACACTAAGTAAGTAGAGAAGGGAAGTTCTTCCTTATAGTAGAGTGCTCGCTAATGGATGTAGAAGGAAGGATGGACATGGAATTATGCGTGTTGGTTACTCTCCTAGTGGTGGTTGGATCTGGCAGGAACAGTCAATGGGTGGGGAAGCTGGTGGGCAGTAGTTCTGTGTAGAACCGGAAGTTGGTATAATCTCTGAATGTTCCCTATGAAGGAAGGACATATTATTCAGAAACAGAGACGTGATCACTTTGGTGGTGGGGTGTGTGTGTGTGTGTGTGTGTGTGTGTCTTTCACACACCAACTTGATCTGGTGATGAAGGTCGCTCTTGCTAGTGATGGGTGGAGCGGCATCATAGCTCCCAAAGAGAAGGACATCATTTCTGTGATGTTCCTGCTAAGAAAGCTTGGCCCAAGTCCCAGGATAAGGCAGCAGCCTATGGGCCCTGGGTGAAGGGTGTCCTACAGAACAAAAGGCCTGTACTTTATAATAACTAAGGACTCGAGAGAGGAGGGAAGCCTAGGGAACTTTCTAGATTGAAATTGTCCATCATCCGCTCACCCATGGTCCCTCCTGGACTTACTGAGTCGTGGGTAAGGCTCAAACAGACTCACGCTATTGAGTCAATTGCCACTCACAGCGACCCTATGGCATAGTGTAGAACTGTCCCTGTGGGTTTCTGAGACCAGAACTCTCTATGGGAGTAGAAAGCTTTGTCTTTCTCCTGAGCAGCAGCTACTGGTTTCAAACTGCTCACCTGGTGGTTAGCAGCCTGTGGTAGTTACATAATCTGGTGTCCATTTGAGGATTCAGAGCGAAGGGGTGGAGTCTAGGCTGTCAATCAGGTCATAGCCAGTGAGGCCTCTGTGTGGGCATGGCCTCCTCCCGAGGATTCTGGTAACTCCGGTCTTCCTCCTTGGAGGCAGGAGACACACTTTCTCTCTGCTCACTCCCTTGGTAACTCTCTACTGACAAAGCTCACTCCCTGTGAGACATCCCTGTGGAGAAGACACATGGAGAGAGGCCGATGAAGCCAGACCTCTGGAGCCAGAGCAGCCACTGGAAACCCCTGCCAGTGCTGAGATGCTTACAATACCACTGGCTCCACAAGACTTCCCACCCACCGGCCTGCGATCAGCATCATTGCATGCATTTTGTGAGTCTGAAGAGAACTTTATAGTGTTTTAGTCTGGATAAACTAGGGAAACAAATCCACAGAAACTCATATGTATATAAAAGAGTTTTATATAAATGGTAAGTGTACATTAAGAAAGCATCCCAACCCAGTGCTGTCCAAGGCCATAAGTCCAACATTAGCCCATCTGTCCAACACCAATTTACAAAGTCCTCCTCCATCTCACAAAACACATGCAATGATGCCGACTGCAGGAGGAAAACCAAATCAGCGAGTGGGTAAACATCTCAGCATTGGCAGGGGTTTCCACTGGCTGCTCCTGCACCCAGGCCTGCATCAGGGTAGGTCCATGTGGCTTCTCCTCGGGAATGTCTCACAGGAAGTGAACCTTGCAAGCTGAAGCAGGGAACTGGCTAAGGCAGCTGCACCCTGGTCTGACCATCAGAGAGCAAGAGACCCAAAAACAGAAAGGCGAGGCTCACTGAGCCATTTATCTCTCCTCCCTTCAATTAATCCCACATGTGTTTATCGGCCAGGTTGGCACAATAAACCTTACCTATCTCAATTGGTATTGGACATATGGGCTAATATTGGACTATGGACTTGATCTGGACTGGGCTGGGATGTTTTCTTAATATACAATTACTCTTTATATAAAGCTCTTTCTTAGACACCGATGAGTATCTATGAATTTGTTTCTCTCATCTACCCAGACTAATGTAGACCAACTCATAGCCCACAATGCCACCAGAGATCCTTGCCAGCATTTAACAAATCTGAGACTCATTCAGGGGGATTGTCAAAATGCAGATTCCAGGGCCCACTCTGGAGAGGCTGCCTGGAGCCTGGGCAATCTGCATATTGGGCCATATTCCAGGACATTTCATTCTAAGTGGTCTTCAGCGCGCACTCGGAGGAATGATTACAGTCTCTGCAGTCCTGCTTTTAACGCCATTTCTGTCTCTTTGCCTCTCTAGCGTGACCCTGTATGCCGAATTCCTCCCCATGAAAGCCAGAGCGAAATGCATCTTGCTGATTGAGGTAAGAAGGGGTTGCCTAGGTCTGTAGGGAATGCTGTCTCGGGCAGTAGCGTCTCAAGGGTAAGGAGCGTCTCTGGGAGAAGGAGTTCAGGAAAGTAACACAGGCATGTGCAAAGACTTCAGTGGACCAGGCACGTCAATTCTAACACAGCTGTTTGGCCATCTGAACCCATTCCTCAATTGACAAAGAAAGGCAAGCTCGCATCTCCCTTTAAAAGAATGGCTTGGGCGGGTGGTCTGCCCCTCTTCATCTGGAGATGGCTTTTATCTGAGACTTGGTGCAGACTGGCTTGGTAGCTGAGTGGACGAGCGCCTGCCCAGGCTCACCTCACTGCTCCTTAGGCCCGCTCTCACCAGACTGGCCTGTGTCTGCACAAGAGCTCTGTGCTTGGTTCTCCCTGCAGCCTAGGCGCTTGGAGCTGCTGTTGAGTTGGCCCGGCCTCACAGTGCAGGGCCCCATGCAGCAAGGAACAGGTCGGTGCCCAGTCTGGCACTGTCCCCATGATCATTTGGGGCTGGGGCCATGGTGATTCATAGGATTTTCAGCATCTAAGTTTTGGGAAGCAATGGCCAGGCCCTTCCTCCTAGTCCATATTAGTCTGAAAGCTTCACTGGAACCAATCAGCACCACAGCCACACACGAGCCACCAGTGGCAGACAGGTGGACTGGTTGGAAATTGAACCTGGTATCTCACATGGAAGGCAAGACTTCTCCCACACAGCCACAATTGCCTGGCAGTAGCTGATGGGCCTGGCTTCATACACTCTTGGCCCAGCTGGTCCAACACAAGCCTTCCTTCTGTCAGGGCTAGGAGCCCCATTTTCCAAGCCTGATTCCAAAGATCTCAGACAAATATGTAGCTGCCCGATGACCCCTGTCCAACATAGCGACAGAATGGTTTATTTACATTTGATAGACACTTTTAGGGACCCTGGTGGCACAGTGGGTTACTCATTAGACTGCCAACCACAAGGTCACCAGTTCAAAACCACCAGCTACTCTGAGGGAGAAAGGTGAGGCTTTTTACTCCCATAAAGAGTTCCAGTCTCAGGAACCCACTGGGGCAGTTCTACTCTGTCCTGAAGGGTCACAATGGGTTGAAGTCAACTCAACAGCAGTGTAAGTGTCCCTGAGACATTGCTAGACCCTGTAAAGAAGACCAAAACCCGTACAATGAGGCCAACAGGGAAGATCATGATAAATGGAGAAAAGATCGAAGTGGTCAAGGATTTTTGGCTTGCTTGGACCCACAATCAATGTGCATGGAAGCAGCAGTCGAGAGAGCAGACAACACATTGCACTGGGCAAATCCGCTACACAAGACCTCGTTAAAGTGTTGAAAAGCAAGGATGTTGTTTTAAGGACTAAGGTGCAGCTGACACAAAGCCATGGCTTATTCAGTTGCCTTATATGCACGTGAAAGTTGAGCATTGAATAAGGAAGACCAAAGAAGAACAGATGCACTTGAATGCTGCTTCTGCCAAAGAACGTTGACAGTAACATAGATTGCTCAAAGCACAAACCAGTCGGTCTGGGAAGAATTACAGCCAGAATGCGTCTTCGAGGCAAATGCCGGTGAGACTTTGTCTCAAGTACTTGGGACAGGTTATCAGGAGAGACCAGTCCCTGGAGAAGGGCATCATGGGAGGAGAGTGAAGAAGGGGAATCCATCAACATGATGCATCACCACAATGGCCGCAGCTGCCGCAGTGTGCCCGAGCACAAGAGCCATTGTGAGGTGGGCACAGGACTGGGTGATGGTTCGCCAACCGAGGGGACTGAACCACATCAGCAACAGACGCGAGTTGGTAAATAGAGGTGCCAGTGACCAGGAGGAAGCCCCTCAGTGAGATCATGGGAGCCACGGCAGCTGTGGGCTCAAACCCAGCAATGCCGGTGAGCGTGGCGTAGAGCTTGGGGAATGTTTCATTCCATTGTGTGTGGGCGGGTCACGATGAGGGGGAACCTGCTTGGTGGTACCTGACACCATAGATACTGATGCCCACTGGACCGTCCCAGTGATCATGTGTCCACCATCATACGGACCTCAGACAGGACCGATCAAGCTAATCCCCTTCACCAGAGCTGCCTTGTGGCACAACTTCAGGGGGGGCACCATGCAGGCGTCATACAGCATGACTGGTTCCCTCGGGCAAGGGCCAACCTCGTGGCCTTAGGCTAACCAAACGGACCACAGGAACACAGGGGTCATTCTAACCCAGCTAGTCACCGGGGCCCAGTGGGTAAGCACTCCTGATGCCCTTGGTTAGAACCCCATCCACCTATGTGGACCATCCTGCCCCGCCGCTGACCCTGCTTCTACCCCACCAGGTCTTCTGGGCCGTTGGGACGGTGTTCGAGGTCCTCCTGGCTGTGTTCGTGATGCCCACCCTGGGCTGGCGGTGGTTGCTCATCCTCTCGGCCGTTCCGCTCCTCCTCTTCGCCGTCCTGTGTTTTGTAGGTATCTTCCCCGAGACCTGCCTGGTCCCTGCTGTGCACGATCTCCTGGTGCCACCAACACTCCTACTTCCCCCTCCCTAGGCCGTGAGGGGAGAAGAAGGGCACCAACGCCCCTGTACGCGATGGTTATGATTATTAAGTTAGGAGATAGGACAAGGGCATGAGGCCTGGTGCGGCTCCTCCAGAATGCTGGAATGTTCTTTAGGGAGATAGTTAGGGACAAAGAACATGGCCTGGTTGATCTCAGTGTTGCTTCCAGTGTGGGGGAGGGGGCACTGGGATAATCCAAGGGAGCAGCAAAGGCAGATACCTACACTTTATACTGAATTAGGGGACGTCATACAAAAGTTATTTCATTGCTGGGAGGGGGGGTACTCAGTCCATTATTTTTTTTCCTGAAAAGGGGGTGGTAGGCCCCCTAAGTTTGAGAACCTGTGGTCCACATTGAAGGTGACTTCATTGGATTCATGGGGACTCTTCTGTTGCAAGTGACAGAAACCCAGTTCTCATTGGCTCAAGCGAAAGAGACGGGTAGGTTTATGGGAGGAAACCAAATATCTGACTTCACGTGTGCCTGGTTCCAGGGGCTCAAAGGATCTCTCCACCTCGGGTCTGCCAGAAGCACATCCTCGACCACTAGCACCTCACACACTTATCCTTTCAGGTGCATGCCACACACATGAAACACTTTGAAGCATCTGGGGCTCCAGAGTAAGTGGTGGGGTCTCTCCTCTATAGCAACTACTACAGTAATTCCTGGAAATGACATTAGGGATAATAATTCCCACACTTAAGGGTGCATTGCCATATGTCTTTCTCCCAGTCCCCGTATGAAGTGGGCAGTGGTTGGCCCCGCATTAGTTAGGATGACACACTGTAACAGATAAGGCCCGGGGATTCGGTCACTTCACACAACAGTTCATTGCTCACGCACGTGATAGTCCAGGTGGGTGTTGCTGATTGGCAGCTGTGATTATAGGCCCAGGTTCCTTTCTGCACTCCTCTAGGTCTTTAGCACCTTGTGCATGCAGACAGGAGACTATAGAAAGGCAAAGCTGGCAGAACATCCCTGGCAAACTTCTGAAAGTTGATTGCCAGGAAGAGCCTCTGATATGCTACTGGTGAAAGCAAATCACGTGGCCTTATCTAGCTGCCAGGGCCAGGGAGAGTTGGGAAATGTAGTCCTTCCTTGGACACCCATTTCCCAGGACATCTGTGGACTGTCGAAGGGGAAGCAGGGATTTTGGTGGGCGCTCACAATCTGCTACATCCCTATTTGACTGATGGGGAAGCAGAGCACCAGAGAGAGATGGGTTGACTTGCTCAGGGGCACACAGCAAATAAGAGCCAGGACTACATGAGAAGCAGCTCTTCCACTTCTGGGTCTGTGCCCTCTCTACTACTCCACTCAGCCTGCCCTTCCACAGACTGTGGTTGCTTCGTTTTCACAGGGTTGTGTTTTTGTGGTCATTTGTGGATGGGGCTCTATCACATCTGATCGCTTGTTCTGAAATAGCTAGAATTCAAGGGTCCTAAACGTTTTAAACAGGGGGCCAGTTCACTGTCCCTCAGATATATTGGAGGGCCAGGCTATAGTTTAAAATAAAACTGTGAACAAATTCCTCTGCACACTGCACATATCTTATTTTGAAGTAAAAACACAAATGGGCCAAAACACCTGGCGGGCCGGATAAATGTCCTCGGCGGGCCGCATGTGGCCTGTGGGCTGTAGTTTGAGGACGCCTGAGCTCGATGATGCAAGATATACAGGTGGGGGAATACTTTCCTGAGAGATGCAGGCGGGGTTTCTGAAGACGGTGGAAGTGGTGGGCTTCATTTGACCTCACCCTTCCTGGGACTTGGAAAGGACTCCAAGGAATAGTTGATTACAAGGAACTATACGTGACCTCCTCCCTGGGGGACGGACAACCGAAAAGTGGGTGAAGGGAGACGTCGGACAGGGCAAGATATGACAAAATAACAGTTTATAAATTATCAAGGGCTCATGACGGAGGGGTGGCAGGGAGGGAGGGGAAAAATGAGGACCTAATGCCGGGGGCTTAAGTGGAGAGAAAATGTTTTGAGAATGATGAGGGCAATGAATGTACAAATGCACTTTACACAATTGATGTGTGTATGGATTGTGATAAGAGTTGTATGAGCCCCTAATAAAATGATTTAAAAAAACAATAACAAAAACAAAAAACTCACTGCCTCTGAGTCAATTCTGACTTATAGTGACCCTCTGAAGGGCAGAATAGAACTGCTCCTTAGAGTTTCCAAGACCGTAAATATTTATGGGAGCAGACAGCCTCATCGTTCTCTCTCAGAATGGTTGGTGGGTTTGAACTACTGGCCTCGTGATTAGCAACCCAGTACTCAATGAACTGTCACCAGGGCTCAGTAGTACTAATAGGGACAGTAATCTTAGCTACCATTTAACCCATGCCAGACACTGTCCTAAACACTTGGACTGGATTTTCTCATTCAGTACTCTCAGAAGGGTCTATTATTATCGTCCCATATCAGGGATGGGAAAATAGAGGCACAGAGAGGTCCCGTGACCCATGTCATTCGAAGCCAGGCCCCTGGCACTGGAGTCCCCAGTCTGAAGGGCTCAGCACACAGGTGTGACAGCATGGCCGGGAGGCTGAGTTCTAGGCTGCCCTCACCGGGCACGGCCCGCTCTCCTGTCCCCGCAGTGGCTGCCGGAGAGCGCGAGGTACGATGTGCTGTCTGGGAACCAGGAAAAGGCCATTAAGACCTTGAAGAGGATCGCGGCAGAAAACGGAGCCCCTATGCCCCTGGGGAAGCTTGTCATCTCCAGACAGGTCAGTGCTGGTGTGGGCGTGCACACGCTGGGGTGGGGGGGCATGTGCGTGCAGGTGAGCACACATGTACACAAGTGAGCACGAGGACATGGAGTGGAGGGTGTTCCTACGGGTTCACATATGAGTGAGCGTGCACACTGGACTGTGATGTCTGTGAGCACACCTGTGGGTGAGTGTGTACAGATGGGATGGTGTGTACATGCACAGCAGGTGAGCACCTGTATGGGGGAGGATGTACACCCATGGGTGTGCATGTGGGCTTGTGTACATGGGATAAGGCACCCATGTGTCTGTGAACAGATGTGGGTGAATGTTTTCAGCAAATAAGAAAATGTTCTGTGCGTACTGTAGACCTAGAGTGGTACACAAAGTCAGCATGCTCAGCGACAAACCAAAAGGTACGAAGTTCAAGTCCACCCAGAGGGATAGCAGAAGGAAAGCCTGGCAATCAACTTCTGTAAACCCAGCCGTTGAAAGTTCATCATGACTCAGAGGCAACTCACAAACAGCCTGTTTATATACCCTAGAGGTGGATGCATCTGATCCCCAAACTGTCTTTCTGTAGCTATATCAATGGATCGATTCCTATTTATATATTAATCTATTCATAAAAACATTAAATCAATACACTGCCCTCATAATTTATAAGAATCAAGATTGAAGAATAAATAAAGACACAAAGCCAAGCCAAAAAAAAAGGGGGGGAAGACAATGGACAGTGTAAGCCACGAAATAGCAATAATAATATATAATTGATCAAGGTTTCACGAAGGTGAGGGAGGGAGGGGAAAAGATAGGAGCTGAAACCAAGGGCTCCGGTAGAAAGAAAATGTTTTGGAAATGTTGATGGAAACATATGTACAAGGGTGCTTAATACTATTGAATGATGGATTGTTATAAGATTTGTAGGAGCACCCCCACCCCACCCCACCCCGCCAATAAAATGATTAATTAAAAAAAAAAAAGACTCAAGAAGTTGGAGATTGAAAGAGCTCCAAGAGTCCAGGTCTCGCAAGATGTTAGTCTACTCCACTCCCCATTCCCTTAACCTCCTCCCAGTTACTCCCTGAGTCTCTGGGTTGTGCAGATCACGGCAGTGTCCCACCAAACTCACCAAAGGCCGAGGAATGTCTCACAGGGGTCAGGCAGGGTCACCCAGACCATCCTGGGGCCAGAGGATGTGCTCTACTCCTGGCTTCTGCCAGGGATGAGCTCCCACCCAAATGTAATAATCAACCGTCCACCCCGGGACTGTATCTTACTTATGTAGATATGACCCTGGAGCCCTGGCAAGATGTTACCAGTGGGCACTGGCTCCTACTAGTCTTAATCAGCCAGGCTTTCCCAGCCCACTCCAGAAAACGCGTTCTTTCTCCTCTCCACATGTAGTTCCTTACACCCACGGTAAGGAATAGTCACTGAGACAACCAGCAAACCAAGAGTGTTGTCTGATTCATACCTTTCACTGAGGCAGTGGTTCTCAACCTGTGGGTCAAACGACCCTTTCACAGGGGCCGCCCAATTCATCACAGTAGCAAAATGATAGTGATGAAGTAGCAATGAAAATAATGATATGGTTGGGGTTCACCACCACATGAGGAACTGTATGAAAGGGTCGCGGCATGAGGAAGGTTGAGGACCACTGCACTAAGGTGAGAACTCAGTCTCGTCCCACTCCTGTTTGTTAGCAGATAACACCCTCCTCTATGGGGCCACAGCCACAGGCGTATGAAATCCACAATTAGTCTTTCTCACATAAGGGACGATGGCCGGAAGGGCTGCATTAATTGAGTCTAACTCACCTCAAGTCCATTTTGACTCCCGGCAACCCAATAGGACAGAAGGGACTGCCCAGTAGCATTGTAGAGGCTGGCAATCTTTACAGAAAAGAGAGCCGGTGGAGTAGTGGGTTATGCACTGGGTGATAATGGCAAGGTCAACAGTTCTAAACCATCCAGTGCTCCTCGGGAGAAAGAAGACTTTCTACTCCCATAAAGATTTACAGTCTCAGAAACCCACAGGGGCAGTTCTGGCCTGTAGAGTGGCTACGAGTCAGCATTGGCTCAATGGTGGCGAGTTTGGTTTGGGTTTTATTTGGAAATCTTTATAGATGTAAACAGTCTCCTCTTTCTCCTGGGGGTGACCGGTAAGTCCAAGCCACTCATCTTTCAATTAGCAGCCCAAGGCTTAGCCCAGCCCACGTGCCACCACGGCACCTTTCAATAAACAGACATGCCCAGATCTACTCATTAAACGTATTTCATCAATAGTGGCTCCCTTTCAAGAATAGACTACAAAAATGCTTTTCTTCTAGAATATTCCTAGGTCTACAAAACTATTTTATGGCCTAGAGCCCTGCCTTTAAATTTAAAAACGGAACCTACTGCCATGGAGTTGATTCTGGCTCCATGGTGATCCTACAGGACAAAGTAGAACTGCCCCCTGGGGTTTCTGAGATGGTGCATTTTTAGAGGCATGCTTTCGCGTCTTTCTCCTGTGGTGGCCGGTGGGCTCAAACTGCTGGCCCAAGGGGTCCTAGTGAGAAGCTCCACGGGTCTGTCCCTCCACTCAATCATCGGTCACCCCGCAAGAGCAGCTGGAACTAGCCTCTCATGCTCCCTGCCATCCTGTTCCGACTCATAGTGGCCCTCTGGGGCAGGCTGGAACTGCCCCTGTGGGTTTCTGAGACGCTCCATCTTTACAGAAACAGACGACTGCGTTTTTCTCCCTCAGAGCGGCTGGTGGGTTCGAACCACCAACCTTGTGGTTAGCAGGCCAGCTCTTTAACCAGGGCACCCCCAGGACTCACTTGGTGTTGAAATAGGTGACCACTCCTCAAAATGCTAAGAGAAGTATGTTCCTTCGTCGTATCGTAGAAAGGGTCTTCATAGCTGCTGCCTATATTCTGAGGGTCACCTAGGGTCCCTTGTCAAGCGAAAGTGCTGTCGGTTAGTTGTCAGGTGGACCGTGTCAGTTCCAACCCAGGTGACAGGCCTGAACTGCCTCATAGGGTGTCCCAGACTATAGACTCTATCGCATCAGATTGTCAGACCTGTCTCCCTCCCCCAGAGTCACTGGGTAGTCTTGACCCAGCAACCTTTTGGCTAACAGCTTGACCTTCCACCACCAGGGCTTCTTGGTGAAGAAGTTAATCCTGAAAATTGATCAATGAGCCATTGCTTTATCTTTTCTTTCTTTCTTTTCTTTTTTGGTTTGTGACTTGGTTTTCAGCACAGGAATTATCATTGCTTGATGTCAAGCTAGGGACCTTGGTGGTGGAATGGTGATGATTTGGGCTGCTAGCTGCAAAGTCAATGGTTCGAAACCACCAGCCACTCCCCAGGAGAAAGACATGACTTTCTGCTCCTGTAAAGAGTTACCATCTCAGAAATTCACAGGGGCAGTTTTACCCCGTCCTGTAGGGTCACTATGGTCAGCATCCACTCAAGGGCAGCGAGTTTGGTTTTGACTTAAAGCTGGCTTTGTGTGAACGTGTGTGCGTGCGTGCGTGCAACGGTTGGACATCTCTGGGCTGGTCCTGTGCTCCCTGAGTTTGAATCCAGAGAGGTTCTGGCCTGAGGGATCTGCTTCCCAGCTGCAGGCACATAGCAGGGTGCGTGTGCGTGCACGTGTGCCTGCGTGAGGACGTGTGTGTGCATTGCCTGCATCCTTCAAGAGTCGAGCTCCTGTGTCCCAGAATCCTCCATGGCCCTCCCACAAGAGACCTCCCCCGTGATAGCGGATACCCACCTTCAACTCCCCCTCCTCCCTTGACTCCATCTGAAGCCACCAGCCGCCGCCCCCTGCCCGTGTGGGTGAGCACATTCAACAGCATGTCTTTGTCTTGAAACAGGAAGATCGAGGCAAGATAAGGGACCTCTTCTCGCCCCAGTTTAGGTGGACCACATTGCTGTTGTGGTTTATATGGTAAGTGCCCCTCCCACGGCGCCTTGGGTGGGGGTTTCATGGGAAGTACCCTGGCATCTCATGTGGGTGTGTGTTTGCCAACATCCTTTGCTTGGGCATCACTCCCCACAACTCCTTCCTTATTTAGGGATCACCGAACTACTGGTTGTGTGCTGTCAGGTCTGTCCCAACTCCCAGCGACCCTGTAGGGCAGAGTAGAAGGAGCCCCGGGGTTTCCCTAGGCTGTCCTCTTTAGGGGAAGGTGCCCTGGCGGTACAGGGGTCCGGTGCTCACTTTCGAACTGAAAGGTTGGCAGTTCTAATCCACCAGCTGTTCCAGGCAGGAAAATGAGGCAGGCAGGTGTTCTACTTTGCCCCGTGGGGCTCTTGGAGTTGAAATTGACTAGAGCAGTGGTTCTCAACCTTCCCAATGCCGCGGCCCTTTCCTACCGTTCCTCATGTGGTGGTGACCCCCCCAGCCATAACATTGTTTTTGTTGCTGCTTCATCGCTGTCATTCTGCTACCATTATGAATCGGGCGACCCCTGTGAAAGGGTCGTTCGACTACCAAAGGGGTCGCAACCCACAGGTTCACTGAGGGTTCACTGCAGCCTGCTTCACGCCTGCTCTCTTCCTGCTTGTGTCTAGCACCCCCCATAGCCGGGGGCGGGTGGGGGGGGTGCACGGCCACAGACACATTCCCAACACGGTGCTGGCCGGGGAGAAAGGCACTCCCACACGCCCACCTTCAGGTACTTCCTGGTCTTTCCTGCTTCCTTCCCGGCAGGTTTTCCAATGCGTTTTCTTACTACGGATTGGTTTTGCTCACCACGGAGATTTTCCAAGTCGGCGACATCTGCAGCAGTGAGTATGCAGGCCGCCGGGCCAGCTAACCAGCCGGCTCGCTGGGCACCGGCACGAGCTGCCTGCCCGTCCACGGGAGCCACGTGTGTGGCGAGCCACGCTCTCCCCTTGGTGGGCGCTCAGTTTAGCGTCTTCAGATCCCGAGCTCTCGGGGCGCCGCTGGGTCGGCTCAGCCACCAATGGAACTGGAAAGCTGCATCCTGAAGCCACGTGGGCCTTCTCCCAGAGGCCACCAGCCAGGGCACGGCGGTCCATTTCAAAGGCCTGGCACAGTATTTCCTGACAAGTGATATGGGGGGGGAAAGAAGTCCCCTAGCAGGGGGATGGGGCAGGGATTAGGAATCTAAGGCGGAATACGGCATGGGGGGGCGGGGTCAGATGGACCTTTTAGGCAAGATGGACTGAATGAGAAGAAAGTGACGTTGAAAGAAAGACGTGGAGGAGGTTAGGGACAGCCATGGGATAGCAGAAGGGCAGTCCAGAGAGGGAGTGGCCAGTGCCAAGGCCCTGAGGCAGGAGTATGCCTTATGTGAAAGGCCAGCAAGGGAGCCCGTGGTGAGTGGAGCCCAGTGAGAAAGCCAAGGTGTGCTCTGGAACAAGGACTTGACGGGACCAGGTCACCCACGGCCTTGGAGGGGTTTTAAGGATGTTGATTTCTGATGGAGGAGGCCCTCAGAGTTTCAAACAGAGGGGCTGTGTTAGTCTGGGTAGACTAGAGAAGCAAATTCATAGACACTCATATGTGTGTAAGAGAGAACTTTATATCAAAGAGCAATTGTACATCAAGAAAACATCCCAGCCTAGTCCGGATCAAGTCCATAAGTCCGATATTAGCCCCTATGTCCAATACCAATCTATAAATGCCTCTTCAGACTCACGCAAAACGTGCCATGATGCCAGAAGATCACAGGCCCGTGGGTGGAAAGTCTTGTGGATGCAGTGGTGGTGGTGTAAGCAGCTCAGCGCTGGTGGGGGTCTCCATGTGGCTCCTCCAGCTCCAGGGCTCTGGTTCCATGAGGGGTCTCCATGTGGCTTGTCAGAAGGAAGACGAGCAGAGAGTGTATCTGCCCTCGAATGAGCTATTTATCTCCTTTGCGCCTCCAAATGAAAAGCTGCGGCCTGACTGACAGGCTAGACTCCACCCCTTCGCAAGTTGACACCAGACATGTAACAACCACAGGGGCTGTTGTTGTTTTCAGTGAGAGACGTGTATGGCCTCACAGGCCTGGAGGCTAGAAGTTGGTATACTGGATGTACTCGAGAACACACATTCAGAATTCTATGGACGCGTTTGTCTTTCATATGGAATGGAATGCTGGGAGCTACACACCCAAAATATGATGATAATTTAAAAAACAGGTCCTTAAAATTGCTCATGAGATTCTCATTCATTTTCTCTCTCTTTCTTCAAGAAGCCCTAGCGGGGCAGTGGGTTATGGCTGGGCTGCTAACTGCAAGGTTGGTAGTTCCAACCCGCCAGTCATTCCCTGGGAGAAAGAAGAAGCTTTCTACTCCCGTGAAGATTTGCAGCCTCAGGAACCCAGTCCTACCCTGTCCTAGAAGGGTCACTATCGACCCAATGCCAGTGAGTCAGCCCCTGGTCTTTCGGATCTCTAGAACTCTCACGGACATCTCTTGTCGGGCAGGTCTCGTCATCACAACCCCCCTCCCCGTCTGCGTGTCTGAGAGCGACTTCAGTTTGCCCTCATTCTTGCAAGAGCTTTGCCCCATGTCCAGTTCTCGGTGCACGGCCCCTCTCTCCCCACATGTAAACCCAAGTATCTGACTGAGGTTTGCCGAGCGCACCTCCAGCTTGGACGGCAGCAAGAGTGGGGGCAGGTGTGCAAGCAGGTTGACCAGCGGGGAGGCTGTTGCAGTAAGCCAGGTGAGGGATACGGGGGTGGGGGTGGGGGCGGTTCAGACCAGGATGACCGCAGTTGATATGCAGGCAAGCAGCCGATCTTATTGTAATAGGATTTGAAGGCTGACCCAGTAGATTTGCTGAGAGATTGACTGGGGCATGTCATAAAGAGAGGGGTCAAGGCTGCCTCGGGAGCTTTTACCAGCCCAGCTGGAGTGGGGAGATGCCACCGTCTGACAGGGGAAGCCCTGGGAAGCGACTCCCCCTCTCCGAGTCTCATCTGCTGAGAGCCTGACTCAGATCGCTTTCGTGACTCTACCTTTGGGAGACCAGCCCTGCATTTTGGGGTAAAGGAAGACCTGTAATAGAGAGCAGCGTAGACCCTTCACCACTAATTCATCTGGACCAAGAGTGAGACTCTTGTTGCCATCACCTCCTTGGCTACTGGGCTCACTCGGATTCCCTCTCAATAAACGAGGAGAGAGTGGTGATGGGGATGAGCCACGATGGGTGTGTGTCATCCACTAGCTACTGCTGAAGAACAACACAAGCATAACATGAAAACACAAGAGGAGGCCAGTCGCAGAAGCCGATGGAAGCTGAGGACTAGAAGACTTGCCGAGCAGGATGACATCTCTGCCGAGAGAGTCGACGGTGTCCCCAAGAAAACACACATCGGTTACAGATTCTTAGGCTCCCGCTGACCCCTAGTAATGATACACTGGCATGGGAACAGGGCCCAGCGGCGATCAAAAGCCACTTGTGGCTGTGTGGGATGCTGGCAGCCTTTTCTTGAAGAACAATGAAAGTAATGACCGATGGACCTTGAATCCTAACATCACGTATGGCCTTCGGGATTGTCCTCTGCCCAAACTGGACGGCCGCAGATAATCACTTGAAGGTGGTCTTTACGAAGCCAGTTTCCCCCAAGGTGTGAGGTTGGTAGCAGCTTGGTAGGTCACTTGAACTTCCGACCCAAATCTAGGAATCTGGATTCCACAAGAACGAATGTGTCTATGCCTCAGTACACCGCAGCTCAGAACAACACACGCGCATAGTCTTCCGTCTCTGTGGGCCAGGCGTCTGGGTACAGCCTGGTTCGAGTCCTCTGTCCAGCAACAATCAGGGGATCAGCCAGGACTGGCGGGAGGGTCTCACTTAGAGACCCTGTGGTTTCTGGCAACCTCAAGTTCCTTGTGGCTGTTGCACTGAACAGGTGTTTGTTGGTCTTGACTGGTGGCCTGCTCTCCGTTCACAGAGGACACATACTGTCCCTTGCTGTGTGGGGCCACCCGCATGACCATTTGCCTCCTCGTAGTGGTTCAGCGAGAACAGTGCGACACAACCCTAGCCAGATGGGCACTGCCGTCTCACACAGCGGCCTGGCACACACACAGTCATGTCCTCAGGGTCCCCGTGCTGTATCTGATTGGTGAGAGGCAAGTCCCAGGTCCCACGTCCCACACACCATCAAAGGCAAGGGGATGACTTAGGGGCGTGGCCACCAGGAGGAGGCAGGTGTCAGCGTTTCCTGTTGCTGCAGTCGGTAGCAGCCACACCACAAGGGGGTGGCCCTCAGAACTGGAGTTTAATGTTGCACCGTCGCCCAGGCTGTGAGCAGGGCTAGGCTTTCCATCCGTCCCTGGTCAGCTCTGCTGGGAAGCCCTTGTGTCTCTCAGCTCCTGGAGTGCCAGGCGTTTCTTTTTTTTTATCTGACTTGATTGATTGATTGATTGATTGATTGCACCAGGCATTTCTTGATGTTCCTTGTCTTGTCGCTGGTCCTCCCAGGATGCCCTCCCGCTGTGCACCTGTGGAGCTGGGGCTACAGGAACCTCCACGCAGAGACGATGAGGTTTAGGATCCATCCTGCCCCACCCTGGCCTGGCCTCATTCATGTCACAAAAGAAACACCCTTCTTTCCAGACAGACTTACACTCGCAGGTGCAGGGGTTAGGATGTCAACCTCTGTCTGTGGGTGACGTGACCCCTGAGGAGCCCCCTCCCCAGGAGCTGTGTGCCCACAAAGCACCTGGTACGTGCCAATGGTGGGCACATTTGCGCAACAAACGATTTCCAACTGCCTGGCGAAGTGGTTGCATCTGGCGCGGTGTGAGGCGGGAAGCAGACTTGGCCATAGCAGGCATAGACGCAGGCTCTCCTGTGTGCATCGTCGCCCTGTTCACCGTAGCAAGAAGCTGGAAACAGCCCGGGAGCCCACAAGAAGAACGGAGAAGGAAACTTGGGCCCATTCACACACTGAAATGCTGCGCATCGCTAAAAAAACAAACAATAATGATGAAACCAGGAAGCACCCACGACACAGATGGATCTGGGGAATACTGCCCCAGTGAAGGCAGCCCACTACAAAAGGACCAGGAGGGTGGGAGACTGCAAGATGAGCCGAAGATGAGCAGAGAAACCAAGACGGAGACTGGCACCCCAAAGCGAACAGGCTTTGGGGGTTCCCAAGGGAGGGAGCCCCCGGGTGGACCGATGCAGCAACAAGACGAGAAGGTTGGCGGGTATTGACAGGGGTGGAAGGGAGGAGAGAAATCAGAGGAGGGGGGTGGGGTGGCATAGCGGGTTGGGGGAGGCTGACGCGTGGTTTGAACTGTTGATGGTAGAGCCGGTGGTCTGAAATGTGAACCCTGCCCCAACTAATTCACAAGAACAAGTTCACCCAAAGCAAACAAACCACCACCATGAGTTAGTTAGTTTATTGTGCCAACCTGGCCGATAAACACATGTAGGGTTAATTGAAGGGTGGAGAATAAATGGCTCTCTGAGCCGCGCCTTTCGGGTCTCTTGCTTTGTGATGGTCGGACCAGGGTGCAGCTACCTTAGCCAGTTCCCTGCTTCAGCTGGCAAGGGTCACTTCCTCCAAGACATCCCCAAGGAGGAGCCACAGAGACCTACCCTGATGCCGCCCTGGGTGCCGGAGCAGCCGTGTGGAGAGCCCTGCCAGCGCTGAGATGCTTACACATTCACTGACTCGGCTTTCCTCCTGCAGTCGGCATCAGACCAGGGTGTAGCTGCCTTAGCCAGTTCCCTGCTTCAGCTGGCAAAGCTCACTTCCTGCAAGACATCCCTGAGGAGAAGTCACATAGACCTACCCTGATGCCGCCCTGGGTGCTGGAGCAGCCGTGTGGAGACCCCTGCTAGTGCTGAGATGCTTACACAGTCACTGACTCGGCTTTCCTCCTGCAGTCGGCATCATTGTGTGTGTTTTGTGAGATGGAGGAGGACTTTGTGGATTGGTGTCGGACAT